TAAAAAAAATAAAAAAAATAAAAAATATATATATAGGCAGCCAGCGCCACGACCAATCAGATGCAGGCACTTGTGTGGTGCGTTCAAAGCCCACAGGGCATACTGCCACATGTAGATAAAGTATGGGCAAGACATGATAGTTAAAAATATATTGTTGATGGTTTGTTCTTACCCGTGACGGCAGCTTAGCTCTGAGCTCTGTGTTACGGTGAGATCACCTCCTGTTTACAAGCGTGCGCGGTCCCGACTGGGCGCTGCTGTCGGGGAGGAGCTTAGGAAGGGGAGCTGAGAGCAGGGGGAGGGACTACAAGGTTGTTTCTGTTCAAAATTTTTCTAAGTTTTTGGGTTTCCAAAAAACTACATACAGCAGCTTTAAGTGAAAGATGCCCTGTGACAGCAACCCAGACTGTAGCAGCTTTATTTGGCCCATTTATTGAACTTTAGCACAAGATATAGGCTATTGTATAACATATAGAATACATATTAACATATAGTTTTTATGTACATGTAGTATAGTCCAGATTTACATTTTTACAGTAAATTTGTTCTTAAACTATTATTTTCTGAAGGGGTAAATGCTAAGAAAAGTTTGATAATCCCAACATTTACTTTATGTTTATATTTACTTTTCTTTATCCTTCTGTTTATTGAGGCCATCAGCAAGTGAAAAGTTGTAAGGAAAAATAACAACATTGTGTTAATTGCCATTTAAATCCATCACGTTACAGGAAAATAACAGAAAATAACAGAAACACGATTAAACCAGCTTTAGATGGATGCAACTCAAATTTTGAAGAAATAGAAAATATTGTGAGGTGACATCACAATTGACACAGTGAGCCATTAAGCACTGCTGAGTTGTCCTGTATTTTGGCGGGGCTGAGTTGGCAATCCTATCTGCCAGTGCTGACCTATCAATTACCAGTGCAGGCTTTTAATTAATCAGACCAGTAGCTGTATTTGGAATAGATATAGAATCTCCTGCTACAAGAGTATAGCCACCACTACGTACACAATAATCTTAAATTTGGCTATCATATGACACCATCATTTTGTATTTTAATATTTAAAATAAAATTATGACTACAGTACTGTGCGAATATTTTGAGGCATCCCTCATTTCTTTATAAACTGCTTTTAAAAAGCCAGATTTTGAAACAAATAAAAAAATGTTCATTCGCTGATCCTGCCGGTTGTTCGTCTCCTTACCGTCACTGATGTCCTCTGAGGGAGGAGCTTATAGCTGAACGCAGCACAGACAGGAAGTCCTCTCTATCCTCTCCTCTCTCCGTGGCACAAAACCAAGAACGGGATGGACCCTCCAGAACAAACGCATGGCTCACATCTGTAGTGAGAAACACAAAGCAGTGTGAAGGTTTTTCAAATCTTAGAAGTGATTTGTGAGGAAGTGTTATTCTAAAAGACGGTAAAAAAAAAAACTCACAGCGTGTGTGTGTAATCTCTCTGACGCTCAGGCTGCTGAGAGCCACAGAAGCCAGGAAGGTGTGTGTGCTCTGGTGGGACACCGTAAATGGAGTGTGGTGTACATTTCTCAGAGTCAACACCAAAGCATCATTGAACAGGAAGAGGCCAATATCGGACACGTGCTCAAAGGTCCTAATCACACACAGAGAAAAAAAAACAGAAGTCTGAAAAACTGACTTTCTACAAAACTACTGTTTTACATTTGGAATATTTTCAGTTTAAAATAGTATATTTAAGCTTTTAAAGTTATGAAATCCAAAACTGTGCATAAATTGTACTTGTTTTGTGTTTTAAACAAGCAATATCATGTAAAATCAACTTCTTTGAGCTTTATGTCACGTCAGAACGCAGTGATGGGCACCAGTACGCTAAAGCGCAAATCCGACCCCTAACTGTGGACCTAAATATTTCATTTGTGCTTTAGCGATCTTACTCATTTTTATAAGTCATAAGCAGATTTGCACTTTCTAAAATTAAAATGCAGTACCACTAACAACTAATTATCTACTATTTATCATTATTATCTTGACCAGCAGAGGGTATGGCTGTCAATGAATCACAACACGTGATCTATCCAACAGCACCCCTCCCAGATAAACACACTTATTGTGAAGGTACACATCCTTGTGGACTGTTGCATTCGGTCACAATTCTCATTTCCCACAATGCTTTGTGTTTGCTTACGTAGCAGGAAGGCAACAGCAAAAACAGTAAATGTTTGTAATCCATACTAAAATTTTGTAAGTATTGATTTATTTTACTTTACAATCGGAGCTCCTTTTTTAAAAGAAATAAAGTTTAAATGCTGGAGCTCAATACTTAACGTAATTGGTCGAAGCAAACGGCCAACGGGGTTAGACAGACCCCTAGTGGTCAACTGGAGCAACTACATGGAAAACTTTCGTTTCCCATCACAAATCAAATCCGTCATGTACCCAGAATGCATCGCTTCAGTTTTCCAATAAACAGCTTTAAAATTACTTTATTGATGCTTCTTTAATGAAAAACTACAACAAACAAAAGAAAAAGATAAAGAAGCAGCCGAACTCGCAATCCTCAACAACTTTTTAATTTTTACACTGGGAGCCAAAGGTCTGTTTCAGGAAATCACATCCCCAGCATCGACACTTGTAGGATTAAGTTGTAAAAGGGTTCATACACCACTAGTTGGCAGTGTTGTGCATATACAGTATTGTACATGAATTGTTGCCAACTAGTAAGTGTCAAATTGAGCTTGTGCTTTAAAATTAGCTTCTGCTAATTTTTCTATGGCATAAGCGTTTTTTGAAGTTGCAGACCTAAATATTTTCATAAGCACTTTAGAAATAGCGGAGCTAATTTTTGGGTTAGTGCTGCCCACCACTGCTAGAACGTTATCTCCTCAAAACATACAGTCTTGCTTTGACTCATTCATGCATGTTTGTGAAATTCTGTAGTGTCCTGAGGCAGCCAGGCAGGGGGGCAAAAATGACCAGTTGGGCCTAGAACCACTTTTTTAGGTGCAGCTCCTCCTCTGGGCTGTGCTGAGCTTCTGCATCACAGAGCACACCTCCCCTGCGACTCCTGCAGGCTATCAGCAACAACAACTGGCAAAAATCTGGTGAAACCGCGCGTACCCACTTGCTGAGCTCGTAATACTTATCAGTCCAGTTCTTTTCGGGAGAGAAAGAGGCCTTTGAGGTAATGGATTTTCAGATGCCAAGGATGACCCAGTTCTTAAGAAATGGTTTAGATTCATTTTTGGAAGTAACCCTCCAAAAAAAAAAAAAACCGTTACTTATTTATGCGAGCCACTTTACAGATGATAGCTTTTTGAACAAAAGGGAATTTACCAGTGGACTAATAACAAGATTATCACTAAAAGACGATGCAATTCCAACACTCAGAARGAAACAAACACCGTTGTCGTCTGCCCAAGTAGCTGAACAACAACTCACGTTGTTTTGTTCGGTTGTTTGATCTGTGATTGACGATTATCATTCATAACTTATATTATGATCTGTGTTTTTTAGTTATCTTACACCACATTTTAGTAATAAATACATTAGTTTTAACATTAACGTTAGTGTATGTGATTGAAACGTTGTCTCTCTACTCACTCTGTTCTTCAGAAAATGTACTATCCGGTCAAACAGTAAGGTTTATTTGTATCCTGAGTTGCTATTTTCCAAAATGATATTGTATAATGTTGCTGCTTTTTTTACTATTTTCACTACAACAAAGTATGCTACAATGCTCCAGGTTGTAAACAGCATGAAGCTGTTGTGATGACGTGCTGAAATGGGAGTGGTGGAATCATAGGAGGTTCTTAAAGAGACAGAGGCTAATATCAAGGCATTTAGAAATGGCTATGATGTGAAGTTGTTTATTTTTGATTTATTCATATAAAAAGCATTTCATAATAACTGAAGTTGGCATATGGTAGGGTTATTTGTTCCAATGGGCTGCCATTTTCCAATGGGAAGGTGGTCATGTAGCACAACAAAGAGGGCCTGAATTGTCCCAAAAATGCATTTCTGAGACAATTCTGTCTTTGATACGACTACCTTCCATTGGAGAAAATTTACGTTGATCCGATCTTGCTGCTTTCAATATGGCAGCCATGTTCTGGACATACAGTAGTCTAAAACATAGGTCCCCACACACATTGCTTGCTGGGTTATTTAGTTATATCATTTTTGTTTGTTTTTGCAATAAAGTGGTGTCCTGAGACATTTGACTCATCCTGTACAACTGATTAAATTCCTTGCAGTCAATCCAGTTCGAGTTGACAAACACAACTAACTGACCTTTGGAAACACAAAAACAACTATCACTAAGTAAATTTGACAAATATTGAGCTAAAATTTGATGGGTTAGTAGCTAAGGATATTTCACGAAACATATCTTGACCATTAATGATTTCACACATTTTTTTTACCACAACTCAGATGATCTTTGTATAAACCTCTGGTGTGAAAGGTTGTGGGCAATATGCATTCGTTCAGGAAATGCACAATCTGTATTACCTCAGGGAGTCTGGGATCTGTCTGTCTGGGCTCCTGAGCAGCGCCGCCTCCTGAGTTTTTATCAGCTGCCGGTTTCCTTCTCTGAGGTTCTACAGAACACAAAACACACTCAAAATAATTCTCAAATAGGAATCAAATAAACCAATCAGAGAATCATAGGAGGATGGAGATGTGTTTTCTAACCGGACAGCCTTGTATGATTTGCTGTGTTTCCTCTAACAGTTTGACTGTCTCTGCGTTACACTTCATCTGAAACAGAAAACCAAAAATGCAACTGTTGCACAAAAAAATAAAATGCAAACCAAGACAGATGACATTGCTGTGTGCGTTATTATTATTATTTTTTTCTTACCGTTTTTATAAACTGTTTGAATTGAAGCATGGTGCTGAGGGCTGTGCTGAGGTGTGTGTGGTCAGGATGATCAGGGTGTGTGTTTAAAGACAGAGCTTGAAGGAGAGTCACGTACTCCTGTATCCTCCACAGTGGACACAGCAGCAGCTCCTGTATGCTTCACAAACACACAACAACACACTCAGCGCAGGACTGAAGTAAATAAGCTCATAACAAATACTAAAAAAAAACCACACAAAAAATCAGATCTTTGATTATTTCTTGCTCCTTAGGCACTGAACATTTAAATTAAAACTAAAACTAAAATCAGCTGTGAAAAAAGTGAACAGTAGAAACTGAAGCAGCAAATAAATAATTTTGCATTTTTATTTTGACAATCTCTTGCAACTTATGTACAGTATTTCTGCAGAATGTTGTGATATTACCCTATCAATGTGATAGCTCAGACCTAAAAAGTTGGGTTCTGTGGAAAGGTTAGAAACACTTAATATCTTACCTGTTGTAGGTAAGACCCTTATTTGAAGGGTCTCAGTTTGGATAAATTGTTTAACTCTGATCAAATTGAGGAGCTAATGGCTAGTCTCAGATGGGCTGGCATCAAAGTGATTTTCTACCATTTTAAAACAAATCCAGTCTCAAAAATATCTGCTTCCTGACATTAAATACACAGCGCCTGATTATTCTAACATAAATATTATATTTCTGCAGAAAGTGCTTTAAGTTGCACCAGAAAAGCTACAACTAGCTGCTGCTGCTGTTGGTCTAGTGGTGCTAAAGCTGGGCAGTATGCCACGTTGTACCAAAAACAATTTTTCATTTTTGTCATGTTACAAATTTTCCCTATGCTGGCATCTCAGTTACAGATGAAAAGAAGAAAAAAAAAGGCAAATACTGTAATACCAGTATAATTGTTAAAAATACAGTGATATAAAATTTTGGTCATAACACCCAGAACAACGTCCATCCATCATCTTTTCCTGCTTCTTCCTTTCTGGGTTGCAGGGGTAACTGGTGCCCAAGCCCAGCAGTCAGTGTATGAAAGACAGGTACATCCTGGACAGCTCACAAGTCCACCACAGGGCTACACAGACAAAAAAAAAAAAAACATTCCCGCTCTCTCCCATACCTACGGACAATTTAAAGTTACCAGTTAGCCCAACGTGCATGTTTTTGGTCTGTGGGAGGAAACTAGAGTACATGGAGAAAACCCACAACTACAAAGAGAACATACAAGCTCCACCCAGATAGGTCAAAGTCTGTGTTAACCATGTAATGCAAAATGAGTGTCGTTGTTAAGTTTTGTAAAATCAAAAGTGTTTACATGAACTGCTATGAAGTTTTTGAGATTGGAGTCACTTTAAGATAGCAGCAATCCACTTTGTTCTGCTGAGACTAGCCGTTAGCTCATCAAACTGGTCAGAATTAAACTATTTCTTTAAGCAGAGGAGGTTAATCAAAGAGCTATCTACAACAGGTAAGATATTAGCTCTTCTATCGGCCAGTGTGTAGATCAGGGGTGTCACCGAGGGCCACATGAGAGTTATGGTGGCCCTCGAAAGGCCACTTGTAATTAACTTTACGTTTCATGTTTAATTTTGACTAAACTGTTTTAACATGTCCTCTTTTAAACACTGAAAAGAACTAAGTGTACAATTGACTAAATCTGAAATAAATACAGAAATATTATTAAAAGTAAAACTAATAAAGTTTTACTCACTGATGAGTTTCTAGTGAGTAGCTGCATTATGGCAGATTTAGTTTATGTTTGATGGTGACTTTAAAGCAGCTTATTTTCAGACATTAATACTGTGCTATCCAACTAAATTGCTCAGTTACTTAAAGCAGCTCAGGGGCAGGACCGTTGTTATTATCTTTAAATTTATTTTGTTGCATTTACTCACAAATTTAAAATTTACCATTGATATAAGAAAAAAATTTTTGTTAAGTAAAAAATTAATATATCTTTCACGTACAGATCAAATTTAATGAATAAAACATGGATTTAAAAAAAGATTGTATTTGTACCCACCCGGCAGGCCTCACAGGAGTCCACATTCGGCCCGCGAGCCTAGAGTTTGACACGTGGTGTAGGTGAATACTTTCGTGTATGAAAGCGCTTACCTCAGCATGTGTGTTGACAGTGTTCTGTCTGTTCTCTTCAAAAAAGCCCGAAATGCTGGTTTCGCCTCCCTGCACTGAAGCATTTTGATACAAGAGTTGTCCTTAAACTTTTTATCCAAATTTTAAACTTGCAATATTAAAACAAGGCAGAGATCAGACAATAGCAAATCAAATATTTGCTGTGGTGGTACAGTTCTTCAAACTTAACATGTACAGATCAAATTTAATCAACAAAACATGGATTTCAAAAAATATATATATTGTATTTGTATTATATCTTGGTTGCTTGTGGCCATGCCCGGCAGTCAATGTGCAAGAGATAGTTTAATCATTTTAACTCTTTAAGCCTACAGGGTTTTAGAAGTACTATCTCCTTCAGTTCTCTTTTGTTACTAATAGCAAAACAGCAGGTAAAACATACATACTGTACATGCATGGATGCATGGATGGATGGATGGATGGATGGATGGATGGATGGATGGATGGATGGATGGATGGATGGATGGATGGATGGATGGATGGATGGA